CTCCAGCAGAAGTTGAGTGAAAATCTAAGGTTGGATTGGGAACTGTCAGTGGACAACACTCTTCCTTCTTATGACAAGTTCATAGCGTTCATTTCCAGACATGCAAGAAGCATGTCTTGTGCTGTCAAGGAATGTTCAAAAAGGGAAGAAACCACCGGATCGAGATTTCCCAAATGCCAAAGCTACGGGATGCTAATTGAGAAATCGGACACTTGCATATTATGCAAATCTAAGCATCATCCACTATACATGTGCAACTTATTTTGCAAAATGCCTTTAAAAGAAAAATTAAATGTAGTAAAAGGTCATAAATTGTGCTTCAATTGCTTGAGGAAAGGCCATTTCTCATGGAATTGTAGGCTGAACCAACGATGCAAAGTATGCAAGGGAAAGCACCACACGATGATTCATTATGATAAACCGAGCACGGAAGGCGCTTCGGCCCAAGTTGAGAACACAACTCCGAAGGAACATGAAAGTGCTATCAATTTAACGAATACTCAACAGGCAAACTGCAATGATAGCCACGTACTACTCGCAACGGCTAGAATCAAGATAAAAAATGGACTCGGAAAGTTATGCACCTGCAGAGCCCTACTGGACAGCGGTTCCCAAGTCACCATGATAACAAAAGGATGCTGCGAAAGATTGGGACTTGTCCAAAGGAAATCAGATCGGATGATTATAGGGGTTGGAAACACACCAGTGCAGCATTCTTCATCGACAGTAAGTGTGACATTTTGTCCACTGAATAATTCTGAGGAATTCTCGGTAGAGGCAGTAGTCACGGGAGTGCTCACTTCAGAAATTCCGAACTTCAGGTTAAAAGACCCTAATTGGCCAACTTTGAAGAACCTCAAATTGGCAGACCCAGAGTTCTACATACAAGCCCCAATAGATATGATATTGGGAGCAGATATATACACTGAACTTATGTTGAATGGCTCTATATCTCTCGGAGAAGGATTGCCAATGGCTATTAATACAAGACTAGGTTGGGTACTTCTAGGAAAACTCATGGGAACATCAGAGAGTAATACAGAAGTCTGTAACCTGAGTTTACAATCTGAACCAGAACTAGAATTCGTAATGAAAAGATTCTGGGAAATTGAATCTGTGCCGTCACCGGATCTTTGTACACAGGACGAAGATTGTGAAAGGTTATTTTCGAATAACCATGGCAGAGATAGCCATGGAAGGTATTGGGTAAAATTGCCATTCAGACAACATCGACCGCTTCTGGGTGAATCAAGAGAAAAAGCTTTAAGAAGGTTCCTTTCGTTGGAAGGAAAATTGTGTAAGAATGTGAAATTATATGACCAATACCGGGGATTCATGAAGGAATATGAACACTTAAACCACATGGAAAGAGTCCCAATTGCAGAAGTGAAGCGAGAATTGTGCAGATGCTATTACATGCCTCATCATCCAGTAATTAGAGAGCAATCCACTACAACAAAAATGAGAGTTGTGTTTGATGCATCAGCTAAATCTGAAAATAATGTTTCTTTAAATCAAGTTTTGCACAAGGGACCAAAAATTCAACAGGATGTATTTTTCATTCTCCTCAGATTCAGAACGTATCCTGTCGCCATAACTGCTGATATAGAAAAGATGTACCGCCAGATAAGAAATCATCCAGAAGATGCGGACTATCAGAGGATATTGTGGAGACCATCGCCAGAAGAGCCTGTGGTGGACTATCGACTACTGACTGTTACCTATGGTACAACTTCGGCTCCATTTTTGGCAATGAGAACATTACAACAGTTAGCAGAAGATGAAGGCCAAAATTATCCTGAGGCTTCTAGGGTGACCTTGAATGATTTCTATGTCGATGATCTGCTAACAGGAGCTCAAACGATTGCTGAAGCCAAAGAACTAATAGACCAATTAACAGACTTAATGAAAAAGGGAGGGTTTCACTTAAGAAAGTGGAATTCAAATTGCCACGAGATAGTGTCTCATGTCGAGGAAATGAACGAAGAGAAGAAAATTAACTTGGAGAAAGGAGCCATATCCAAGATTTTAGGAATTGTATGGGATCATGTACAAGATACGTTTAGAGTTAATATAACTCTTCCTGAAGAAGTTGTTACCAAAAGAGATCTTCTCTCCAATATTGCGAGGATTTTCGATCCAATTGGTTTCCTCTCACCTACTACAGTGGCAATGGCGAATCTCCAGAGGCAGACCGCGGTCAAAGAAGTCGAGGATTTAGAAGGGCTACCAGTCTACCACCGCGCCATATTGAAGGAAAATGGAGAGTGGCCAGAAGTTACCAAAGCCATCCAATGTAGCTACCCGAAGGTCTTTGTCGGCGACGGAACTCATCTTTACCTCCTCATAGAAGATGTGGAATCTCTAGATGGCCCGAATGTCCGCTCGGTATTGTACCAATACCACATCCCTCACAAAAAATGGATCTGGAGAAAAGTGAATGGTTTCGCTCCAATAGTTATTTCCAAGTCTATCGTTTATGCCTCTCACGATAAAAGGGTATACTTTGTAGGAGGGAGAATACACTCTAGAGGGAATAAGGTAACTTGCACCGACAATATTGTCCGAGTGAAACTTAAAGAGGGTCGGGCTTCTGTTCTAGTGAAAAGCAGGGAGTCGCCCCAAACTGACCTCTTGGTCCTGGCAATGACATTTGCACCATCGGCGTTCTTGTTTATGCTTGCAGAGACCCGCGACCACTCTACTTACAAGGTTTTCTCCTATCATCTCCTAAACAAAGATTGGCATCTGATTGGATCAGACAAAATATTTTGGAAAGAGAAATTTCTCTCTCTTCAGATTTGCTATACCAACAAGAAACTTTTACTATTCCCTCGAATGCAGTGGGAACAACACTTCTGTAATCTGTATAACTACCGACTTCAAACAGATTCCTGGGGGTGTTATACAACTATTCCGATTCTTGGTGAGAAAGAGGACTATCCAAAAAATATCAATCACTTTACTATTGTGCAGGATTGGGTAAGAGCTGTATTTGTTCACGCCGGGAAGGAGTCGAAATATTTATGGAAGTTGAACCTGAAGTCTAAACAATGGACTGAACTACCAACCTATGTCAAATACAGAGATAGTCAATACACTGCTGTAGCTTTGGACCTGGTGTTCATATTGGGACCAGCTGATAAAGAACACGAGACTGCAGAGAAGTATTTGTCGTTCTTCAAGACCAGAAGGTGCGAGTTGCCCAAGTTCGGGCTGCTACCGGAGTCTACCTGCGACCTATTACGAAGTTGGCTCCGCTTCCCTTCAAATCTGAACCAGGGTTCAGCGGCCGGGGGGAGTATGTTCCAGCCTTAAATATGCAAAATTGTTGGAATTTACTTTTGTTAATTATTGTTAAATTATGTAAATTTTAGAAATGTATATAATCTTGATTTTAGAAAATAAAGTTAGTTATTGAGTTATAAAAGTATACGTGGTTGAGTCATTAGTGTTGGTGAGACGAGGTTGAGTCATTAGAGTTGGTGAGACAAGAGTTATAAAAGGTATACGTGGTTGAGTCATGAGAGTTAGTAAGACGAGACAATAGCAGTTATTCAAGTTTAAATGAGTTATAGTTAGCTCGCTGAGTTAAGAAGCTTATAATTAAAACCAGCGTTAAAATAAGAACTTGGCAGTGATTCCTCCTTAGTGCCAGGAGGCCAAAGCCAGTTCGATTCACTATATATGATACTATAAGCATTGTGAGAACACAATGGCAATATTAATACATACAATAGATTCCACTTAGCATTATTACGATATTTTGGAATGCAATAATTAATGTGACCAAACGTATCTAGTCATACGATAACTGTTCAATGATAGGGATTCTAGACATCTATTCATACATATATACATATATGATTGGTATATATGCAAATACATATATTTATTCACCATTGATTTTACCTTATTAAATATAATATAATAGTAACTATTATACTCTCAATATGTATGCATATATAAACGTATATAATATATATGCAACATTTTTGCAAAACTATAACGCCAACGTTTGAAGCAATATTGTTTGCGAAAAATGAAAAAGTAGGCATATGGAAATGTTTTTATTTGGAACGTCATTAAGAAAAATAACAATAGAGTTATCGTTTAAAGTCTGATAAGCGAACAACTGCTATGACAGGTGGGTTGAAGCTTATATATATTATATTAAAAAGGCAAATATTAGTTCAAAATATAATTTATTATAACAATATTCCAGTTAGTTAACGCCAACCTTTTTCAAGGTATTATAACATATTAATATTATGTGTCAACAACAAACTCAGCGCATAAAGTTGTTGACAACACAATTTTTCGTTGCCACAGACACACATTAATATGTTATAATACCTTGAAAATGTTCTTCAAGTTAAAGATATTTCAGGCAGTAAATATTTTTTCTGTAATATAAATATTATTTCAAAGACCCTCAATTATTTGAAAAAATCTAACCCCACCTGTGGGTTTAATTAACCAAACAGGGCTCTGGCACATTTGTAAGTACTAAGGTCGAACTGTTTTCTACATGTATATATTAAAATAAAAAATATTTACTGGCCGAAGTATCTTTAATTTGAAGAATTATGAATGCCGGCCAGGCAACCTTTATCTTTACGACCTTGAAAAAGGTTGGCGTTCAGCCAACTGAAATATTGGTAAATAAAATTATATTTTAATCCAATATATGCCTTTTTAATTAAAGATCTATTTATGGATTGCTCTATTTTCAAATTTATATATATAGAAAACAAAATAGGCATTTCCTGACTTCTTACATGAGCTTTTTAGATCAATCACTTTTCATTATTATTCATGTTTACTTCCATCACGATCTGTAAGTGCACCAAATGTTTACACAGGTAGAAAGCAGTTCAATCTTTGTACTTATAAAATGAGCCAGAGCCCTGTTTGGTTAATTTAACCCACTGGTAGGGTTGACTTTTTCAAATAATAGAGGGCCTTTGAAATAATTTTTATATTACAGAAAAAAAAGTTGTCCAAAGTGGGATTCGAACCCAGGTCATGGCTATCGAAAAGCGACGGCTTATACCACTGCTCCACCGACCTCCTAATATATGTGTAGAATAGTCTAATATATATATAGAGTTACCTGTAAAGAATGGTTGGATAAAGAGGTGGAATTAAGATCATTGATGCTGTGGTTTATTGGGCAGATTTGGTGGAAGAGGTCTTTCTTTCTTTCTTTAAGGGCAATAAAGGTTTATTTCTTTTTATTTCTTTTCTAGTCAATGTCACAACCAGATGTCTAGAGGAGAGTTTATAGATAGCGTAGACTATTCAGGTATATATATATATGTGATATACAATTCTTCTATTAATAATTCTGAATAATTTCCTTCAATAGTTTTAGTATATCAATGAATATAACAATTGATTATATGTATGGTATATTAAAATATTTTATTTAAAGTTGTTATATTAAGGTATTATTTTATTTAAAATTATATTTCATAGATAAAATACTCTGCTAAATCGACCGCCAGAGGTCAGTCTTCCCCTATAAAAACTCGTTGTTGTTTTATCCCAATGGCCCATTTTGGTTAGCAGCCCCGTAAAATAAAGATATTTTCTCTATCCCAATGGCCGGCTCAAAACCTTTGTACATTATGTAAATAATATTTTGTTTTCCTTATTCTACTCGCCTTAAGCCAGGCTTTACTTTTATCAAAAATTATGTTTTTCATATATTCCTGAGCTCAAATAAATAAATCTCTGATCAAAACCGTTATTATTTTTATTTCAAGATTTAAACACGACTGCATCACCATTACAATAATCCTCAACATGATCTAAATTCAAGCAGAAATTATCTTTTTATTTATATTATATGTATACACTTATTTTTGTTAATATCCTTTGTTTACATTGTATATTGAAGATAATATTTTTGTTTATATTTTGTCATCGCCATTATATAGTCTGAGAATGAGAGGGATTAACCCCTCTAATCAATATAATGAATATAATATATTGATAATAAGTAGATTATAATAAATTATTTTTATAGGTATACGATCACACTAATAAGTAACATGGTGTTGGTATTAAAAACAAAGAAGGCATATCCTGACCACGTTCACATGAACTTTTTAGATGAATGAGCGCCATCTATTGGAACATAAATCAACTAAATGTTGATTTAGCCTGTTCCCTGATATCTCCAGAAGCTTCTGGGTCTAAATACATTTTTAGTTATAGAGGTACAGCTTGTACCATGATGACGAGGGGAAACAGCCCGAAAATGGTTCATGGTTGACTTCTCTGCTTTGACCATATATCAGAGAACAGGTTAAATCAGCGGTTAATTGATTTTTGTTCAACTAGATGGCGCTCTGCCATCTAAAAGGTTTGTATGAACGTAGTCAGGATATACCTCCTTTGATTATAACTTATATATTTATTCACCCATGAACAAAACTTAAGAAATTTTCGTATGTTGAGTTTCAGATTTTTTCTAGCTATTATATAAAATACAATCCAATCAAATTGATAAAATAGTAGAAAAATCTGGAGATTAAACTGGCGAAACCGCTATAATAGTGTTACCACTGTCGATATTATACTCTTCTTCATATAATTATTCTCTTCATTGGGAAGAAAAAAAAAAGGTTCCATATAATTATACACTTTTTATAAAAACCTGATTAAATAATCGTAATTTTAATACCTAATTCAGTAAAAGAAGAAAGATATAACACAAAATAAACTATAGTTATATGAATATTAATCAATATATATTTTTTAAATATAAAGTTTCTATACTGTATTCTTTGGAAAAATAAAATTCAATATTGTGATAAGCAAAGAAAACCTATGAAGAAAGAACTATACAAAGAGTTTACAAAACACATTTCTAAATGTCTGATAAAGAAATGCTGGCGTACCAATTTCTTTTTTAAAAATCGAAGTTCTACTCAGTGAAGATATATGTTTTTTATTGATGATTATGATCAATTGGTTATAACTAACTAACTAAAAAGATTGACTTTTTTATTTTCTCGATAATATATATTATTATAAATATTCTAAAGATTATATCTTCACACATACAATGTAGGGGGATATACTTATATTATATTGATATATCAATAGAAAGGGATGGATCAATAAATATGTTTCGCTAATTATGTATTTTTAGAGTTTTTTAAGAATTTTTTTTACCGTTTCAATAAAGAATAACGTATTGATATGTTGGTTTTATAATGAGGTCAGCTTAAGAGTTAACTGAAAAAGATAAAATTTGGATGAAAAATATAAAACCTCGCTGATATGAACCGTTTATATAGCAAATCTTTAATTATAACGAACCTAAAATAACCTCAATTATCCATTCCTTGGTATCATTGAACCATAGTTATATATGGATATATGAATAAATGTCTATATATATACTCATGAACAAACCATAAGGAAATGGAGAATATAGGTTTCTCCTTTCGTCTGTTTTTATTATTGATATATTTATCTTTTAATAAAACTAGGAAGAAAGAGATTGTTCACACTTGGTTATCTGGTGTGTCTTCGATAAAGGTCACTGTGTATCAAATATCATTCAGAGTTATTATCTGAATCCCGATATACATGTTAAAACGTAAAACATCTTTAAATTTTGTCAATGAGTGTATATCATAAGAAAATATTTACAAAAACATAATAATAATCACAGATTTTATCGATTGATGGCAATTAAATTTATATTTATATTTTTACCCATCAAATTATTTACATTTTAAAAAATCATTTCCTAGGGTAGCTAGCGACCTATGAATCCACTCATATGTATGCATATGTTACCATGCCTAAATAATTTCAATATTTCAACATTGAGGATGTCAAAATAAAGGAAATATCAACCAAGGGAGATAGAGAAGTAGTTCTCCAAGATAATCTTCATCTCTAATCTTCCATTTATTTTCTTTAGCCTCGAGCACACCTTTTTCTTCCAAGACAAATGTTCTAGATATACCTCCCTCTGTAGGGAATTGTTCAAAGCATTGTTTTCTAAAATAGCACTTTTATTGAAGTAATACAATTATATTTGTAGTGTTCAAATATATATTTTAATTTTGAAAAAGAGATTATAATATAAATTTCATTTTATAGGAATAACACCTAACTATGTAAACTCATAGACAAATCTTAAGAAAGTGGAAAGTCTTTGATGTCGCCAGTCTTCTGTCTGTTTTTAATATACAGAAGTATTGAGATACTGTATTTAAGATACAGAAGATTATGTTCGCACTTGGTTATCTCGTGTCTTCAATAAAGGTCACTGTAATAACTTTCAGAGTTAGTCTATGTTTAAGTTTGTCTATGAGTGTATACAATAATATGTTATATAGGTATAAAATCAATATGTTTTGTCATTATTCATATATAAAAATTTTATTCTTCGGATTATAATTAAAAAAACTAAGTGTTATTTGAATTTCAATTAATAACCAGTATTGTGCTTCAAACAATCATATTCTAAAGTTAAACTTCGCTATGCGAGTATATTCCTGAAAATATACTTTTGATATTAATTGTAAAATTATATAATTAAGTTATACATTATATTCTATGAACTCTTTTTGACACTGATGTTTATTAAAATTACAAATATATTCTCACAATCAGTATCTTTTTTATTTAAAAAAACGCTAGCTTTCAAGCGTTAATCGCTCTTCAACGGGCTTACTATAATATCGACTTTATCCCACCAAAACACTTTTGTAAATTTTTCTGGTGGCATCAAGTCGATATTATACTAAGCCCGTTGAAGAGTGATTAACGCTTGAAAGCTAGCCTTTTTTAAATAAAAAAAGATACTCATTGTGAGAATATATTTGTAATTTTAATACTTTTTCACAATTTTATCATGAATAAAGAACTGATGTTTATCTTTAAATAAAAACGGTATATCTTAGATAGAAAAGTAAACTGTGTTTTTTATTGCATGACAACGATCAGAACGTTCAATTTAATCAAAACTTTATTCAAATTATTTCTACTGAAAAATGAGATAAAGATTCAAATAAAATATTCTATCATTATAGTAGGTTCTTTAGAAGTAGTCTCCTATTATTATCATATATATTTAAAACAAAAATAACTATCAAAGTATCAAATTGCACAGGTAATATAACTGACCGAATATCACGTATATATTATTTGTTTAATTTTCGTTTCATAGTGGTAAAATAACTAAAAACGAAAATGGCATATCCTGACCGCTCACATGAGCATTTTTAGATGGCAGAGCTCCATCTATTAGATTGAAAATCAACTAAAAACGTTATATGTATATTATATAATCTAAAATACAAATTTTTTTTTTTTTTTTAAAAACATATATTTTATTTTTTCATTCATTGACTGTTCTGCATTTTTGACCATATATTCAAAAAAATATCACTTTTTAATTATTATTGTTGTAAATATGTATATTTAACCCTACCTATCTTTTATCCACGATTATAGAATTCATTATATAAATTCTATATTCCTGTGATATAAATAATTTATGTATATTTTTACTTCAAGAGATTCAAAATAAAAATCTGCTTGAAAGGTAAATAATTATTTTTATTTTTCCACGACTGCACCTCTTTTCAACTATCAAACACACAAAAAATTTCTAATCTATAACATATATATATATAAAAAAACGAAAGAAAAAATAAAAGATAAAAAAGATGGTCATGATATGCCATTTTCATTTTTAATATATATATAAATTATATATTAATATATATTGATTTTGAAACGGTTTCTTACTAAGTGCAGTTATTTGATAAAAATTGAAAAATGTTTATTTTCCAGTTTTTTTTTTCAATTTTCAAGTAAAATATTACAATAGAATATTTCTCACAGTTAATATAGAATTTGTCATGTTAATTCTATATTAATGTAAATTCTAAAAAGGGACATTATTATGTGAATATTTACATTGTTTTAAAAAAGTAACTAAAAGAAAACATATTAATTAAAAAAAAAACTATTAATGTCTCGAAAATAAATCAGCTAAATGTTTATAATTATTAATAAATAAAATAAAATGGA